AAACTTAGAATTTAAAGTTTTAAATATAATGCAAGATGAAGGTTTTAAGACAAAAGCTTCTTCTTCACCTTCTCCATGAGTTTGGGTAATATTGTGTAATTAAGTAAAAAAGTCCACATTGTGAGCCACGAATGGTTAGTTATTATGTTAAAAGTAAAAATAATTGAAGTAGCATTTCATAATTAGTTTACCCTTAAAAGGCCTTGTAAAAAAAAAAAAGGACTTAATTTTTAATTTGTTAACTTACAGTGCTGTAAAACTCACAGTTTGTGAAACTGTCATATAAATAAAAACTAATAAACATCTAAGTCCAAACAAAAAATACCATCTTACTCATTTAATCCTGACCCTAAAAAAAAAGAAATAAACCCCAACCCACGTGAGCACCCACAGCCCTGGGAGGGGCTCTCAGCTTTGTGAGGACACAGATCTGCTTGTCCACACACAGCACTGAGGGTGGGGGCACAGCTAAAGCTCAGGTTTTTAAGCAGTGCAGCACAACTCCTTGACTTGTAGTCGAAGTGAAAGCCTGGGCTTTGAAGGGTTCAGGAGATTCCATGGAATAAAAAGCCAGGTGGGCACACCTGAACTGTGTGAGGACATTCTCTGTGCCAGCACAAGTGGCAGCTCACCTGCTCCAGAGACAAGAACAGCCACCTTCACCTTCCTCCTCCTGGGCTGGGGCTGGATCTCAGCCCTGCTGCTGCTCAGCAGCTGCAGGGCCTCTGCAAGATTCTCCACTTCAATGTGAGAACCTGCTCCAAACACACGAGGGAAGGGTTAGATTTCACCTTCCCTTCTAAACTGACTTTGTGTAGCTTATTAATAATGTTTTAACAACAAGAAATTGTATCAGCAATGAATTTCTGCTGGCACAGACAGAGCTCCAAAGGGATTCAGTGCTTGAACAGCCCAGATCCCAGGAGCTGTGCTGCTCACAAAGGCCCAGCCATGGCCTTCTCAAGGATTAATCCCATCTTTTATACCTCTCATGTTGCAAGAGGACACTAAAACCGATGCTGATGGTGACATTTTGGCTGCCCAAACTGCTGGGTTTGCAGAGGGATTTTGGTTCATGTCCTGCTGGATGTCAATCAGTGACACACCAGGATTCAGACTGGCCATCACCACACGTGACTGAACAAAGCTGTGGCCTGACCTCAACCTTTCCACAAATCTGTGTGAGCTGGGGGGGCTGGACAGGAGGGGGACTTGATCACCATGAGTGTGGTAAAATATCCACTGATTTTTGGAACAAGCAGCACAGGGATTTCCTGAAGCCTCAGGGAGGGTTATCCAGGTGCTGCCACTCTGAAACAAGAACTCATTTCTCATTTATTTAATACTGAAAAGTGGATGTGGAGATTTCCAGTAGCCTCCAGCCTAGTGAAACAACAGGAAAGTGGTGTGACCTACACAAATTTTGGGAGTCTCTTCAGTCCCATGAGGACACCTGCTCACCTGTGTGACAAGGGACAACCACCTTCCCAATCAGCCAGGCCTCCTGCTGCCTCTGGATGTCCTGGAGAACATGCTGGGCCAGCTCCTTCTGCACGACCAAGACAGCCCCAATCCCACAGGGAAAGGTCTGAGCCATCTCCTCTGCAGAGAGGTTCCCCTCCTTGTAAAGCCAGCAAAAGATTTCAGGGATCTTCCAGCTGAGAGCATCTGGAAAAGATGGAAATTTGTGTGTGGGTAGCACAAATGTTTGTTATTATTTATGATTTTCTGTCTGCAATGACAGTGATGTGTCACAAGAGCTGGTAGACACCAATTCTGCCACAGAATCCCCAAATCCCCGAGGCTGGCAAAGCCCTCCCAGCCCCTGCAGTCCCAGCTGTGCCCCATGGCCACCTTGGCACCCTGAGTGCCACCTCCAGGTGCCACCTGCAGGGATGGGCACTCCAAAGCTCCCTGGGCAGCCCCTGCCAAGGCCTGAGCTCCCTTTCCATGGGGAAATTCCTGCTGCTGTCCAAGCTGAG